GTCTGCTGATCTCTCCCGCAGCTCCCCCATGGAGACTTTGCCATGGTTACTTACTGCTTGCAGGTGTCAGCAGGCTCCCTTGCTCTGCACTCTCACTGAAGTCAAGGAGATCTGGATCCAAGAGCAGAAGTTGGCCTTTAAGATTCACTTCCATGTAGCATATGTTGCAACACGGTACACCAAGAAATGTAACCAAGAAGAACCTTGTTATTTACAGTATGCTAAAATTTAACTATTGCTGTGGCCCTCAGAAGCCTGTGGGACACATCCATGAAGACTGCCCACTTCATCTGACACAAGGTAAGACTACTGTTGCTGAAGAACAAATGGCACAGTATGAATTCGGATTCAGGTTCTGGTCTAGTGCCCACCTTCAAGCTGAGATGGCCAACAGTGACTAATTTCCTTAATGAGCAGGGCAGAAGAAGTAAAATTGAGTGGAGTGAGGGATAGTTATCTATTTTTTAACTTAATCTTATTGGTAGCAATATCAGAGAATAGGCTGTTATTTTAAGAGGCATTTAGCAATTGTCAACGAGTTTTCTTTCAGCCATCCAGAGGGATGAAGTTGAAGGTGATGCAGTGAATACAGGAGATTGCTACAAAAACATGTGGGTCTGTCACACTTTCAAAAATACACTGCCTATAAAATTACTTAAGCAGCAAACAACATAAAGCACATCTGATGAATTTTAAATGACAGCAATATACTGTGAGGTATCTCCTTCGTTCCTCTTTTAGGAGGCTGACACTCCCAAAAGAGTGAGGTAATCTTCATCACAGAGAGGAGATGTGAGAGTCTGCTCAAATCTGGATGTGTGTCAATCTCTGTATTTCCAGGTGAGTGATAATACCCACAGGCCTGTGTCCACACATTCCCGTGCCTGTAATGCAATTTTGCAGTAGCAGGATTAGAACAGATTGCTGGCATTATGGCAGCAAGGATATTGTTGGGAGTAGCTTGGCAACACTTGTAGGTGTTGTGACGCTGGCTCTTTGCTCAAGGGCAAGGACAGGGAGGGGGTGCTGGATACAGAACGGTAAGAAAAATGACGTCAGGAAAGTTCAGAAGATGAAAGTAGTGACAGTAAATAAGTCTGAAATTATTTTAGGTTTACATACTTTAAGTCCTCTGTGACTGAAAACACAGCCAAGAATTGCTTCAGCAATATTCCTTCATAAATCTGCATAATAATCTCTCAGAGGGGCTTTGGTGAAATTACAAGTATTCATTTACTAAATTGGGTTCAGTGTCTGTATCATACGCTGTATGAATATTCAGTGCCATGAATTCACTCAAACTACACTGAAGTTAGCATGGTCCTCAAACTATCTCAGATGATAACCCAGGTAGAAAAATCTTTCTTTAAAACAATATATATGTTTATATCTCCACTAGAATCTGATAAAGAAACTTTTAGCAACTAAGAACGATGGCAATAAAAACAGGTCTTTTCATTTTCTTCTGATCTTGTATCTCTAAATTCAACAACAACATGCTCTTGCTAGAAAGGGACCAAATATAATGATAACTGCCATTCAGATACAAGAAAACTGTTACAGGGATGCGCTAATAATAGAAATACTGGATACTGTGACCTTCATACAGAAAAAACTGTCTCTTCTTACAGTGCTGATAAAACTTTACAGAGAGTCGGAGAGTCAAATTTTGTGCTGTGAGCTGAAATAAACTTAATCTTGTACAACTCTCCTGTGCTTCATAAGCTCAAATACATGAAAAAAACACATAAAGTAAATCCAGGATAGCAAGCATCTACAGGGTAAAAAATTTTCACCATAGTGTGGAATGGATTGAACATAGATTACCTGTGTTATTGCTGAGCCTTCTCAACCCAATCTATTTACTCTCAGTCCGGTCTTGCCTGAATAACCCAAGCTGTCCGTCCCTTCCCACCAAGGCAGTTACTTTGAACGTAAGATGCTGTAGCAATTATACCAAAAAGTACTAATTCACATCCTGGATATTTCTGAAGTTGTCTGTAGCAAACAGAGACAGAACCAAGAAGTCACTCATCATACATCGAAGCAAGGAGTCATGACTATTTCCTTTGAAGGTGTAACTATCCAACACAGTTTTTTTTTGTCCACAGCTATTGCAAACAGAGCAGTAGATTTTCTTTTTTTCCCCACTTGGCTGCTTTTCAGGTTTCATTTATTTCCCCATCTCACATGACACTGTGTTACTCATAATCCCAATTCACCTAGAGTTAAAAGGGAGGTGAATTCAATGTTCAGTTCACAATTCTGCACTACTTCTAGGAATTGTGCCTGCATCTTTTCCAAGCTAACTTCTGATTTATACTGAAATTGTGCCTTTCTCCCTGGATATTTCTCCTGGTTATTCTTTGCCTTCATTCATTTCATGGCTTGCATTCTCACTAAAGGTCCAACTTTCGATATCAAATGGAAGGATGTTTTGAAGCAGCATATACTTCATTATTACAGGATATTTAATCTTTGTATCACTTTCTCCATGAGGGGATTCTGAAGCCATGACTGCCATTCTTTCCAACTTTTCTAGCAATAAATTCATTTCTATGAAGTCAAGTTATAACTGTGACACGTACATATTTGCTCAATGCATTCTGCTAGCAGAATGGACAACCCCCACAAAAAAGGGTGCCAAAGTCACATTGATGAAGGATGAGGAAGTTGCTCTAAATAATAATAATAATAAAAAAAAAAGTGCCTGATGGCATCAAAGTCCTGTATTGGTCTCAAAGGATTTTGTGAATCATGCAAGGAAATAATCTTCCAGCTGTGTTTATAGTGCTCCAGGAATGAGCATCAGGAAGAGCTGGAAAGCAGGACCAGCTCAGAGCTCTGATTTGGAGCACGTAACTATTCTGAAGACTAGGTGAGTTTGTTCTTCCACCGAGCAAGGTTGAAATGGTTGGAATTTGGGCTCCAAGTCTGCTACGGAAAAGGAATTAAGTAAAAAACCAAAAAAAAAAAAAATGGAGTTTATTACCTGGAAGTTTTCTTAAACTGTTGCCAGCCACACTCACGCACAAAGAACAAAGTCATGCAGTACGGGTGATTTCTTCCGTCACTAAAAAACAATCACTGCTTGCTAGGAGAATTAAGTTGAGCCAATGACCAAACCTTTAGAGAGAAGCAGTCACATGGGAAAATGTTAATTAGTTAAGAAAGCACATACTGATGACTTGGATTTTGAATAATCATCCCTTCAGCTTTTTTCACTGAATGTCATCCCCACAACTGCTCATCTATTGTTGCACTATGTCAGAAGAATCCTTTAAATTCAAGTTGTTTGTAAAGATGCTGAACAGCTAATGGAGATTTTAGCATCCAGAAGTTGTTTCAGAGAAGGACGGAGTCCAGTGCTTCTTTGCAGGATCCTGATTGCCAAATCACCTTATGCTACCTTCTGCTTCCTCCCACTACCTCTTCTCTTTCTCCTTTTTTTTTTTTTTTGTTTTGTTTTGTTTGTTTGTTTTCTTTGTAAAGATATGCAAGGACTTTAAATGGGATAAATCAAGTTGGTCATCCCACTATTCTATCACATAATTTGGGAGTTTTGTTACAATTTAAGAAGATGTCAAGCTTCCAGGTTCTTTCCTCTGAATGTCCTCTTCCCAGGTCACTTTCCTCAGTGGCTTTACTTGAGAGGTTAGTACTAAAAAATCTTGATGAACAGAGATCCTTTGCACTGGTTGCTCTTCATTCATAGATAAACCCACCATCTTTTATCAAAGTGATGCCATATCATCATGGGGTATAAAACACATTCTTGTATTTAAGAATCAGAAACTGTAAGATTTAGATTATACATCGTGATACTACACTGTTGCCTAGCAAGGGCACTGATTATGCTCAAGAGAAGTTTGAGGAACAGCTTTCTTTAGTCTCAAATTTGCGACAGTTCCCCTTTGAGTTGGCAGTACATTAATGGAAATGGAAACTTGCCTCATTCTAAATGTCAGAATAATAGAGCACCAAAAACAATTCAGTCATGTCTTTCAAACCACGCACATATGGTTCAGCACCAAATGTCACTATTCTTCCTCACTTCCTTTCCATTTGTCACCATCTCTGTTGATTATCACTGTTTGGGTTAAAACTTTGATGAAAGCTCAGTGGGAAGCTCACCTTTACGGTAATTAGAAAGCTTTTGTCAGATGTTTTATTGCTTGATGCATGCCTAACACAGTATTTTCAGATGCAATAGATTTGAAATACTTACAGACTCCAGAGAAGTTTGATCAGATTCTTCCCTTTGAGTTTCTTTCTGTCACCATGCCTACTCCTGTAGGACAAGTTACACCAGCAATAGCCAGAGAAGTGGAAGGAACTTATTTCCTGCATTTTCTCTTGCCAAATACAGACAATCTGTAAAATAGCTAGCAATTACTCAGCTGTAAGATCAGCTTCTTGAAATAATAAAACTGCTCAGGTTGGAAACAACCTTGAAGAACAGCAAGTCCAATTGCAACTTAGCTATACTCTAACAACCCACATCAAAATCATACCCCTGCGTACCACATCCAAACAGCTTTTAAACACATCCAGGGAAAAATGTTTTGCACCATTATAAATGCTGAGATGTTTAATACCAAAAGAGTTTTCCTTAAGAACGTACCTTCTTATGTCTCCTGTCTCCTTAAGCAGTGACCTTTTGTGACTTAAAATGGTAACTCAGGTTATTGTTATTACAACAGTTATGATATTGTCAAATGCTAGTTGCTTTTCATACTTATAGGAAGATAATTTTCATATCCTGAGAGCTTTCAGTCTTAATCTAGATGTAAAGCAACATCTAAGACAGACACAAGGTAGGGGAAACAAAGAACATGCACAAGCTAGAGTTATAAATACAGCATGTAAAAACTATCTTAAAGACTGATAAATCATGACAAAAAAGTCAAATATTCTAGAACTGCAAAACACCCCAAATATGCAGTATCTGACCACAGGATTACATGTTGTTTTTTGTTTTCCCTATTTCTTCCCAAAGGATTTGGTCCTCATTCAATCAGCAGAATGCATCAATTTGATGATTTTTTTGCAGCAAAGTGCTGGAACACACTAAAACGATTGCCTCAATACTCAGTGATTTTTTTTTAATATAGGGTAAAGGAAATCTTCTTCTGTCTTCTTCCTGATAAACAAATACATTGAATGAATTAAACTAGAAACATATATTTGCATTTAGAGGTTTCTAAATGATTTAAGCTTCACCCATAGGTAAGGGAGAGAAAAAAGTTGTTTGGTAGTAAATATCATTCTTTCCTCTGAACACTATTCTCCCCTTCCCCCATGCTTCAGAGCAGAATGGAGGATATCACTAGAGATTATTTTACTAACCCTTGCTTTTTCTTAGCTGCTACTATGAGCGCGTTGCTGTAAGATTCAGAAAAGACAGCTGATTTAAACAGGAATGAGCAAGTGCAGCAAAACTGCTTAGTATGAGCTGCAGCTCTGCTCAAAATTGGTCTTTTCTGGATATCAGACGCTTCACTTTAAACTTCTATTAGGAGAGTTCATTTTCATTTTCCCTTTCATTTAGCTGTTCCCTTCTTTATCCGAGTCATGGCCTGAAAAAACTGCATTGAAGAGCATACCAACAATTGTATAAAAAAACCTCTTGAATTCTTTCCTTTTTCACTGTTCTCACATATATAAGGATCAGAGAATTTTATGCACATCCATACCATGCGCAAATCCTTTCAATGGATGAGGAGAATGATAAAGCATTGTCTGCTGTTGTTCCAACCATGGCACGACAATATGGAGGGAGTGGGATGACAGTGGAAGTCTCATTCTTAAGAGGGGAGTAAGAGTTTGAGAATGGATAGGATAGGTGAGGGTAGGTAGGAATGGATCAGCCAGCTGCCGTGCTGCAATGTGATGTGCATGTGTTGAGGTGGCCAGGAAGTTTCCTTCTGTGAAAGAAAGGCAGAGAAAGCAGTTATGATTAATATCTGCAGAGATATTTTGTGAATACAACCAACCAGTATAAGGTCATTTGAGTGAGGTAATTTATAATTAAGTAACATACAGCCTCATTGCATTTCCATCTTTCAGTATGAAGAATTTAGAACAGCTGAGAAGTCAAGCTATTGTTCTCAAAACAAAACATGGAAAGCAGCACTATAGAAATATTCTTATCATATATTTCTGTTAATGTGGCTAATTGAACAGAGATTGTGTGTGATCTAATTATGTTAATCCATTATTAAAAACAGCAATTTCTTCCATTTTAAAACATTTGTGAAGAATATGGTTCCCAACAACCAGTTTAATGACTATTCCCTTTCATAAGCTAAAGCGTGTTAATTTGTTTCTTTGTTTCAAATATTAAAAGAACTATAAATGCAATAAAAAACACAGTTCTCCTCTCAGAATTCAGTAGATAACCATTCTTTCCAAGCCTAAGACTCCCTTTATACAGAGAGAGGTCTTTTATGTAATTTGAACCTACATATTCCTTCAGCAATACAAGAGTCTCTGTTAGAAATAAAAATAAAGCTGAAATAGTACATATTAAGTTCCTTAAAATTCAGTGAGAGGTCTATTACACTCTGCTGAGAAGAACTGTCAGAAGCTACAGTACATGCATCATAAAGCTTTTAAACAAAACATCTTTCACTTCTCCAGGAAAAAAATATCAGATGTACTCGGAAAATTATTTAACAAAGCTGAGCCGTGGCCACTGCATGTAAGCACTTATTGCTATGTAAATTAAAATAGCTAATCAATTAATACAGAAGTAATTTTATTTCTAAATGGATAGAGGAGGTACAAAAAGCCCTAATTAAAAGCATTGTCTGCTCTGCTTCACACTAATGATTCTCTAAGAACCAATGTTATTTTTGAATTAGCTTAATCACAAAGGAATTTAAGAGAACAAAATTATTTGTATGAAAATAGTTCTTTAAAGGCACAGAGGCTAGACAGAAAAAAAATCCAGAATCATTTCTATCTCTGATCAACTGGCTTGTCTAATCCATTTTACTGTGGATAGTTGGCCTGACATGACTCCAGATTAGTTTAATAGGGATTAAAGTGGCATGAAGTGTATAAATCTATGAATTTGCAAGTACAAACATGTTTAGGAATTCATTTATCTTTAAGGGCAGGAGAAAGGAATAAAGTTCAAAGTAAAATCTGGATACATTTGTAAACACAGATAATTCTGTGGGAAATTTGGAAAACAACTGAAAACCATGCAATTTCCACAGTGAATCCTGATGACTTTAGTCAGTTTCTTTGCACAAAAAAGCAATTACTCAAGTCAAACAAGAAAGACCCCAAGATGCAATACATGGAGAATTGATGTAGAAGTCCTTAGGTAAACCTACAAGTCCTGTTGATTACTGCCCAAAAAAAGCAGACCTCTGGCATTCAGCTTCCTGAGCTGGCATGTCAAACGCATAATGTCTTTAGAGCTAGAGCTGCCAAGAGAAAGGGACCAGAGACGGCCAAATTATGATATCACACCAATAAAACCTCATCGTAGTGACATACATAAAACACTCTGTAAATTGCTTTTTGTAACTTTTAATTTATTAAGAGCTTCTGAACTATGTTTTCATTCTGTGACATGTTTTCATTTACCTCTCATATCCTTCATTAATTTGTTTCCTGTTTGAAAAATAATACCACATTTTTGGCAGTTTGAAACTGCTGAAAAAATATATCATACCCTACACGAGGTAGCTTGCCAGAGAATCAGAACCGTGTGATATTTTAAATTGCTAGGCTGAATTACAGTGAATTATTTGACTATTTGGTTTGCCTATTATCAAGGTTGAGTCATGAGTGCTGTCTGTCATGCTGCTGTTTGCTTGTTCCTACACACATATTCAAAACATCTGCAGCTGAAACATGGGGCCTTGGAGAGTTTAGAGATTCTGAATTTATGTTCAGGAGGGTTGTGCATGGATCTATTTGCTGGGTGTCTGGCAGTGCTAAATAAAAGAGATCAGACAGTTTTCTCCAGCATTTCTGGGAATGGTGGGGATGTACTTTAAGCAGATATTATTGTCCTGCTCCCTTCCCAGTCACTGTGTTTCTTTGCCATAAGTTTATAAAGGTGACTCAGTCATTCTGGGAATGGGACCAAATGCATAAACGGACAGAGTAAAGCATGAAAATGACTATAATATAGCGTCATGTAGCGCTGACCCCGCAGGTAACCATTCGTAAGTCAATTACAGAAGCATTTATCCTTCTTTAAAGCCTGCTTGGCACATTTATCCAGCAATGCCTGCACAAATTTTGGTTCAGCCACAAGCTGCAAAGTTCCTGAAATAAGCCTGAACTCCCTTCCCAATACCCATTTTTACTCTCATCCCTCAAAACTTCCTTTGCATATACTGTGACTGACTTTATGATCCACAAACTAAAAGGCAGTCCTGTATCAAAGCAGTAGGTCTATAACTTTGAAGAGCAGAGCAGTGAAATCTTATTACAGGTGGAGCATGCAACTATTGAAAATATATAGCACATAAGGAACCCTACAGTTATTGTACCCTTTCACATCTTTACTAATACAATATCTTAGTATTATCTGTGACCTAAGTCATAAAGTTTCTTTGAATATTTTCAAGAAATTGAAACGATAAAGAAATGCTTTTAAAAGTAAGGAAATCAAGTACAAAGCTGTCTGCAGTTTCATTTTCTTTCCCTTCTGCCAACACAGAGTAATGGTCAAGAAGAGTGTTACTACACTTTTGAAGATGACCTCTCAAGGCCAGGCAATTCAGGTGATATTAATATTTCTGAGCTAAAACCCACAGGAGCAGAAGGGAGTGTTTGAATTGAAAGTAAAGCAACTTTTGGAACGGATTGATGGGAAGGGCTTAAATGCACTTGGGAAAGATTTCCCACAGTTCGTGTGGCAGACAGGGAGGAAAGATCTTACAAAAGCAACAGGGGCCAAAGGTTTTGTGATGAAAACTGGGGCACAGAAGAAAAAGCTTATTTTTGTTTCCTTCTGAGATATGGCACGATTTTGACATGAAAAAAATAGCCGTTTCCTGCTGCGTAGGAAGCTCATACCATAAGATCAAAGAATACTGCATGTGTAACCGCTGGCTCATATAGATTCTAAAGGACAAGCATCTGGAATCAAGAAAGTCAGACTCTGGTACAAGCAAGAAATGAACAAATGCACAATGCTAAGAATACCTTACCTAACAGGAAGAGCTGGAGCCTGACCTCCACATGTTCAAGAGTAACCCTAGGGAATCCTGAGGGCTGTGCTTTCACCGAGATGGAATTTATCCTGGGATGTGCCACACTTCTGCTGAAATCCAGTGATGAGAGTCACTACAATTCTGTGGTTTTGTGCTTCTGTTGACTACAGGGTACAGTAAAACACATTTGAGTCAATCTTTTTCACCTTTCTTGTGCACGGGTGATGCTCACTTTTATACTAAAAGTAAAGAGTATCTTCTAATTTCTTTTTGGGATAAGCTGTTGTACACTGAAAGAATTTTATTATTAAGTCCATCTCCAACAATCTACCCGAGAAAGGCAGTGCTTGCATGCTGTTCACTGGAGGACCAAAGCAGTCACTGGAAATGAAACCAAAAGAGAATTTGTGACCCTAAGACTAGTTTCACCTCTAAACACAAACTAGCTTGCCACGCACTGAGAACTACTCCTATAAAGCACACTGAATTTCATGCATATTAACTGTGCTGTGCAGGTACAGGGAGATTATGGTCTATAAAGGATTTATCTATTAGACAGACATTCAAGAATCAATCCTCTGGGACCCAGTGAATTTTCTAGCAAATACTTGGAACTTTCTATGCACTGTTGCCCTGGGATCTGGAGCAGTTATTTTGCACAGTGCTGCGTGACACCACTGAGAGTTGAGGCTGAAATTCGCATGGGTTTCTCACCTTCTGGACCACCTGCCTTTTCATCTCTGAGTCCCTATGGGCGTTGCCAGGTGTTCTGGGAAAGGGTGTGAGAAAAAAAAACAAGGTAATTCACTCCCCCTCTTTCCTCTTATTTTAGACTTCCAGTAATAAGGAGATTTACACACACCTCCTAAGAGACTTTTATTGCTAGTGGTTAGGTGAACTGCATGAATGTATTTTCTTTTCTGAGTGCCTTTCATATATCAACAGATCTCTCTCTATGTGTATTTTACCACCTTTAAATCTGCATTTTGTTAATTAATTTCTGCTGTCAGAATAAGTAACAAAATGACATTATGTTGCTATCTTGGAAGTTGTTCTCTTCCAGATACGGATACAAATTCTTGTTAGTGATTATTAACACCATCAAGATCACATTAAATTTTCTCTAGTTGAGCTGACTGCATTTAGTGATAGGCGTTCCATACATGATTCCTGAAGGCTGAATCTGGGTCTCTCTCACGTTCTCTCTTTTCATATTTTCTCCTGACACTTGAACTCATGTAGATACTCATTCCATAGCTTAGAGTATGAAATACATTTCCTTTTTTCACTGCTAGAGTTATTCTCTTCTCTATGTATATAGTTATTTTTCACCAAGAAGTCAATGTGCATTTGTTGACCATGGTATGATTGTTCTGATTTTTATTTGTTCTGTGTGAATGATCACGGGAGTCATGTGATTCTTTAAGCTCAATGGGACAAGTAAAATAGCTGTGTAAGTAATCACATCTACGATTTTCGTATTATTTACATACATTTGTGCTGTGGTACTTTGTGGCTAATAAAACCCTTTTTCTTTATAAAACAGTCAGTTACTGCAAAATATTTCCAAATATTCTGTCACATATCTCATATGCATGGGTAGCCACAGGATTGGATTTTGAAGTAGCCTCAATAAGGATGACTTCTAATCACAGAGATAGCAGTCTCCGTTTTACTCCAACCACTTGAAAATGTCATTGCATTTACCTCACTGAAATGCAAAGCAGCATTAATTACGGTAACAAAGCATTGTAAGCACAAGAACTAGTGGAAGAAAAATGATGCATAGCATGCTAGATTTTTTTTGAAACTAAGTTTTCAGAATACTTCCTAGAAACACTGCCCGTTTCCTAAAATTTTCTTATCACTCGTCTCTGTGGAAGCTGCCGTTTTACTTACAATCCACAGTATGAAGTCTGGATTTATTATGCAGAACAGGACAGCGAGAAGGCAGAAACCTATTCACATGCACAGGAAACAAGGGACTTTGAAAGGTAAAGCTCTGCTTTGAAAAGTCACAATGTAAAATGACACTTTTGTCCCCAGTTTTTCTGCTATATCTGCATTCAAAGTTACATCTGCTGCCATTGGTGCTAAAAAGAATTTTTATTAACCTTTAAACTTACCAACCCTGAAGAGCAACACAGACCAAGAGGCTGAGCTGCACCCTACTCCTCCCAGTTCACTACCTTGAGGATAACTCCCTATACTTATCACTCAAAAGGACAGCTGACCACATCTGTGCATACCAACAAATGGCAACTGGAATGTTCAGAGTCTGCTGAGGGTATACTCTGAAGAAAACAGCTGCTCAAAAACAACTGAAAAAAATAATCTAAAACTTTGGGTCCTTGGTAAAGGTGATAATGGGCAGGAAGGAATGAGGTGCTGTATGACTGAAGTTTTAACTGGAGCTTGTCAGATTCAGAATTGAAAACAAAGGTGTTCTCTCTTTTTCTTTCCTTTTTTTCCCCTCTCTGCAAAATTGAACAGATTTATTATGAATTTTCCTCAACTTATTCTTCTATATACATACAACATAGGTTGCTCCAAAAGTAGTGCCTCCCATTTATTTCCATGGAAACTACACTGCTCACTTCTGCTGTTCGGTCTACATCAGTGTAGAGCAAGCATCAGTGAATGTGAATGGGTGTAATTTCTTTTGCAGGGAGGAATTCAGCAATGCACCTTCATTCTATACACACTTCTCTGTCAGATGTCATTTTGTCAAACTGCCTCACTGCTGCCAACTGTTGCACACTAACAAAATGTAATGAAATACTGGTGTGAAGGTTCAGCCTCTATTATACTGCAACATCAGCCTGCTGACACTGTGGGTCAATTTAACAACATGGAAGGCATTACTTCCATAGTAGACCTGACATATAGCCTCCTCTCCTATCCCCAGCATAACTCTTTTCTACTTTCCAGTATTTAAGTTATAAAGGTTTGCTGTGCTTCAAGGTAAGGGCAGATACTGACAAGTGTCACGGATGAGACAATGCTTTGGGCAGAACAAAGCTTTCAGATAAGACCTCAGAAAAAGGGAAAGAAAAGAATCACCCTTATTTTTTCTCTTTTCAATTTTAACTGTATTAGAAAAAGCCATGAAAACTAGTTATCATGCAAGGACAAAGATACTTTATGACAGAAAATATTTGCCATACTGTTAATCTATCTATATTTGGCTATACGTATGCAATAACAGAAAAGTAAGCTAAGCCCAGCTAATCATCTCAGTGAGGGGATTTTGTAATAGCTTACAACAAGAAAACTTACAACTTCTCACATTTCCAGCATAGAGAGCATGATTAACTTATTGCAACTTCATATGCCTTCTTGATGTAATTGAAGACAGCTGGTGGTTGCCCTAAATTGTATCAAAGGACCATAGAAAAGCTCTGTGCTTTGCTGTGAGAGCCTCTACCACTGTCAAAGCATTGTCATCCTGACTCATGAGTCATTCTTTCTTCCATCTTCCTGGGGAGGAGAGGTCTCACTGTGTGAATATTTGCCCTAGAACTCAAAGGCTGAACAAAAATCAATATAGTCTTCAGAACTGGGTGAGATATGAAACTGAGATGCTTTGCTGCCCTTTTCCCTCAGATGAGGGGGTGGGTTTGTACTTGCAACCATCTTGCCAAGCCTCAGGCTCCCAGATGGCTAATGCTGCTGCTTGTTGTGGCACTGACTACAACCTTAGCTCAAACAGCCTCCACTGACTCGTCAGCAATTGAATTGTTATGGAGCATTGGCTTTCTCTTGGCTGTGCCTTTTTTTTTTTTTGGTTTGTTTAGGGCTTTTGTTGTTGCTGTAGCCCTCTCTATTTTCACTCTTCTGTTATGCTTTCTGCACTTTGATCATTGTGATTGGAGTTCTCCATCATAACATAACATGATGAAGTAGTAGCCCAATGTATGTACTGTATGCGTCTATCTTCTACACCTGGCAAATATATGCAATTATTTATTTTTCTGTTTCTTGTAACTTTCTAGATAAAGGTACTAGAAGAGTAAAGAAGAATCAAGAAGATCAAGACGAACGTGAAAGAAGCCACGGTACATCGTGTACAGAGCTCCTAAGCAGATAGGGCTACTTTATCTTCTTAGGGCACACTATCTCTTAAAAAGTAACTGCAAAAAAATAACAGATTCCTTCAGTGATCCTTAGAAATTTTGTTTCCTACACATTATCACCACTAAAAAAAAAAAAAAAACAACCGATTCTGCTCTGGCTGAACATGACTACTGTATTTGTTATTAGAAGAATGGAAAAGACAGACCAAAAGTTTAACTACAAGCCTAGTGCATTAAAGATGCATCTGTGACTTTTATGAGCAAATTGGCCATGTACGTCTTCAGGAGACAGGCCACAAGGAAGTATGACTAATTTATACATCAGCTTTTTCTTCATGACTCTTTAAGTAGGATTTTTTTGTAACAAATAAATGATTGTTTGTAGAAGTGAACATGCAGGATATTGCACAAAATACAATAATTAAAAAAAAAAAAAAAGGAAGAAAATTTGCTTACCTTTAGAAAACCTCAAGTATGGACAGACCTCCAGCAAAATATCCCTGCCTTCCCTGCCAAACATAACTGAGATCTGGAATGATGGATCCTCACTCCACCCTTTTGCTCACTTAGCTACATTGCATGCACCTGAGCTTCCCTAGGTTGGCCCCGTCTTCCCAGCAGGTGCTCCATCACTGTTTCAAGCTGTGACTTAGTATTTACTCTATATGCTGTCTTATAGATTGCCTTTTACAGACAGTTAAAATAGTTGGTGTTACCAGCATTTCAGTCTGAAGAGATTAGGGCTAACGTTTGTAAAATGAACCAGAAACCTTGCAGAATTAAATAAATAGGTTTTCTTTTATAGAAACTAGCGATCATAGTAGGAACAGCAAATAGTCCATTTGTGGAAAACCACAGAAGGATATTGCTTACAAATACTAAAGCGTCCTATCTTACGTTGGAAAATTCCTTCTTCTTTCCTATTCCTTCTTCAAATCTTGAGACCATTGCTTTAATTGCTGGATATAATTGAAATGAATATAACTGATACAGTGATGTTATTGAAGGTAGTTTAGCCCAGTCAGGTTTGGTTATCCATATCCTCCTCTGGTTAAGGCAGACAGAGTAAACTGTCTTTGCAGCCAACATGGAGAAGATGGTGTTTTTTTGGTTACATGCATCTCATTTACTTTAGGTGGCTGCTTTGAGATGAGATGAATAGTGCTCTAGACTTGCCTATATGCCATTCAATTGAAAGGGGAGACTAGCTCTTCTATAGCTATGCAGATGAGTCTCTCTTCTTTTTATTCTAAGTAGCATATTTATTTGATGCTTGTCGGATCCTTTCAACCTGAAAATGCTGTGTATGGGCTTGTTCTACTCCTCCCCTGTGAGGATGCATGCAAAATATGTATGGATTTAACAATTATTTGTTTTGAGGGAACAATTAAGAAAAAATGCATGGGATGTCCAATGCACTGGAAGAAGCTGAGTTAAAGAAGTTTTAGAATATTTTGTATATCCAATCTCCATATATGCATCGTCAACAGCTTATTACAGTTTTTCCATACCGTGAAATCTAGGCTTTCTGCCAGAGTACTCTTTGGTATGTTTAATAAGCAGCACCTGGAAGTACTTCCAAGATCACAGATTGAGTTGTGTAGCCCAGTGCCACCATCATTTTGGGGGTCAGATCTGTATACATACACTTCTCCCTACCTCAGTTCCTCATTTCTTGGGGGGAAGGAAAACAGCCACATAGAGCAGATGGAAGTCATGACAGTTTGGCTAGGGATGCATTGAGATCTGGGCTATTTGGAATGGTACACTTATCAAACGATTCACAAAATCCCTGTCTACCACTATTATTAAGCCAAGGGTTGCAAAAAAAGAATTGTATGTATCCCATTCATGGTATAGTACACATGGTACACTTATCAAACGATTCAGACGTATGCTATGTGCCAACTGGTATTTAAAGAGTACACCTCATTGAGACAGACCAAGTTTTATTTCTTACTTACCTATCTCATATTGTTAAGACCAATAATAGGGATCAAATACAACCTGCATCCCTTTTTTGTGGATGATGAGTAACAGGGATATTTCTTCAGTAAACTGTTTCCTCACTAAACCATTTTAGGCATCCCTTCCATTGCTGCTTGTCGAGCACACGTGAAGCTATCATTAGGTCACAAGGAATGATAAATACGCTGTAAACAGTCACATTTTTTTCTGTGCTTTCCAGAGCGTGCATTTCACAGGCTGTGCTGCTTTCCAATCTGTGATTGAAAAAACAGTGGTAAATGCACCCTTGCTCACCCCTAGTTGAGGTGTGGTAGAAATCACAAGTGAGAGACACTGGATGCAGCACCAAAAGGAGAAAGAACTCTGGAATCAGGCTGGTCAAGACTGAAGTCACTGAGAGCCTTTCAATTTGTTTTAAATTGAACTGTCATAGTCTTTGAGGTAATAGAATACATTATGTCTCCCTTATTCTCCTACATGTGACACAACTGCAATTGGAGGGAACTGTGTGCATTTGTTTTCAGCTGGCAAGGATTATACCATACTTAGTCGGAATATTACAGAAGATTTCAAGGAAAACAAAGTGCTCTAGATTGACTCTTGTTGTAATCTGGTGGAATCTATGCTCACTTTGCAATTCAGATGCAGAATTCAACATCCACAGCTTATTTCCTTGTCGTGCCTTTGTCTTCCTTTCTTTTCTTGCAGTTTTTCTGAGTTAACTGCAGTTCTGGGGCTGGTGCCTAAAGCTCTCTACAAAGGCTCTGTTGTCTGTTGAGGCCTGAGAGATTATCACCTTAAAAACTTACTTTTTATGGTGGTCAGTCTTAAGATGACGCTAAGAGGATGTGTGCAAAAGTGCAAGTTGACTTCATAGGCTGTGGATAATATATGGTGAACATTGTGTGCTGAAACAGTTTTCCCAACTGTTCTCAGAGCAAGGCTCATTGCACAAAATTCAGAAGGAATCACATTACTTTTAAGTTATATGACATCTCATTGTAAAATGCTATGCACAAAATCCCTGTCTACCACTATTATTAAGCCAAGGGTTGCAAAAAAAGAATTGTATGTATCCCATTCATGGTATAGTATGTAAGTAACATACTATATTAAACGTGTTTCTTAGATGCACCTATGTTGTTCTTACTTAGAGATAGCCACTATTCAATCTTAATCCATCATTATGCAACATTTACTTCTGCATTATTTGTATGTGATATATTAACCCTCTGCCTCTTGCTTTCTTTCCTTACTTAGTCCTGTGGTTTTGTTGTTGTTGTTGTTGTATGTTTTGTTTTTCTCTTGATGGCCATTCCTAGAACTGCAAATCTGGAATTAAAAAGAGATCAGATGCTTAGTAGAATTTGGTTTTTATTTAACACTGCAGTCTGATCTACCAACAGACAAGGAAGTCCAGAGTTCTCGCTCAAGATACTATTAGAAAGATCAGTGGTATGGAAGTAATTTAGCCATATTCAGTACCCACATGCTCCTGTCTTGCAGAAGTTCTCTGGGACGATTTATATCCCATAGAACCAGGCACAAGATGCATGGACGCTGCTGACTCCCACAAACAGTGGCAAAGATCAGTATGATAAAGCTGAAGAATGTAGGTGGGTGTTGGACCTAGCACAGCCTTTTGCACATTGTGTCTTTCACACTTGCAGTTTTATTAAAAAACAGTAGAACAAGTATTGCCTGTCAGCTGAAAACCCTCATGAGCTGCATTTGCAGGAACTAAGAATCTATGTTAGCGTATCTTAAAACTTTTAGTTTTGAAGTCCGTGGGCAATTAATGCATAGTGGCACCTGTACCTTCTACCCAAAGCTGAACAAAGAAATCTATGCAAGTTGTCTGCATAGATCAGTAGTGAGCCAGTCAGACCCATAACAAATTTAGGCAGTGCTATCTGATGCACAATCAAGAGCAGCCCCATACTGGCTGGTCAGTGCTCTTACTGGAGCTCAGGTATCTAGGATAACTGTCTCTGTTATTTTTTTACCCATATCTCTCATCACGCAGTAGGGATATCAGCCATTATATGCAGATACCAAAGTGGAAGTGGACTGTTTTCTGAAATACCATTTTCTTTAACTGAAATCTCTGATCATTACAATTATTACTATTTTTTTTTTTTTCTGGATCACAACAGAATTACCATGTCATTGCAATGGATTTAAAGATATTGGCAAGATATGAGTGAGTCAAGTTTAACTACTAACAAGACTTTTTGCTTTTTCTTTTTTAAGGATCTGACAGCTGTGCAAGAGTTTTCCATCCTCGGAACTTACCATATTGGAGTTTCTACTCATTCTCATCATAGTGAGCCATCAAGTGCATCACTGGGCAGCATGCGGAGGCGCAGGTCACATCAGAAGAAGATGGGTAATAGGTGGGATTACTCCTGTTTTGAAGAAGGCCATTTGGCTAGGTGGAGAGGAAAATGACAGATGATTTAACACCAGATGCCTATCATTTTCCAGGGACTCTAAATCTCTTATATATTGTGTCTTGCAAATCCTGTCATGTGTAGTGTCTGTTGCTCTCTCCTTAGAAACAGTGTAGAGGAGAAGCTACATGACAGTTTACTGTTTCTAAGTGGGATAAAATACAAATGTATAAACCGAAGCATTTTAAAAAGTTTCTATAGCAGGTCATGACCTACGTCTCCCAGCAACAGGTGAAGAGATACACCCAGACTGCTGCTTTTTAGCCTCCTGCACTTCCCTGGAAATTACTGCTTTTACTACACATTTTTCCCCACTGTCTATACCATCTATAGCTTCCAATTTCCTGGCTTGTTTTTCTTTAGTGAAGTGCAGTCACTGGACACCTCCATGACATGCCAGGCTTCAGATGAAGCTGCTATTGGGATGAGGGGCACGTGGCCAGAAACGTGGTAGCTGGGAGTGGCATGAGTCCAGGGAGCATTACAAGGGAATACTGCTATAATCAGTGGGGAAACCAGCGGCTGATACCAGACATGGGCATTGCTGTCAGCTTTAGGTGGAACTGCAGGTGCTCTTTCACTGAACAGAATTTTAATCATCTTCAGTGATATTTTATTTCTAATGAGAATCTTGTAGAGCATGTTTTATTCAGACTCCATCCTCTCTTTTTCTTAGTTGGGCTACTCTTTTTTTTTAGGTACATGAGACAATATAGAAACTGCTTTGTAGCTCATTTGCATTTGGTAGCTGCTTCCAGAGTACACTTTTACACTTTTCGTCTAACTCTAACTGCATTCACAGAGAAGTTAGAGTTTCCAGTACAATTGATGCTCCGTTGTGAACATCTGTGTCTATGTAAATGAAGCAATTAGACAACTATGCTTTGCTGAATCCTCATCACTCTGTTATGTTCTCAGAGGTGCATTCTCTTTGTGATTTATATCTATAGTTGTTCCTCACGCAAATGCTATTTTCTATTAATATATACAAATATCCAAATGACAAAGTGAAGCAAGCACAAATATAAACCTTGCAGTGCTGGTCGTGTAATTTTTTTTTTAAGCCACAGGAAAGAGTACAGAT